ATCTATGGGAAGCCTCCATGGTCATATTCGGCATCAGCATGCTCGATAACCTATAACCCCTATAATATTTTGGTTCAAGACCTTCAGGTTTAACTAGAGGCAAGAAAGGGTTAAGCAGTGTAGCAAAAACGGGTAAGAGAGTTATTAGTTTTCCTTGTACAATCTTTTACTAACATACAACGACGTTGAAGGCATTGGTGAAAAAGAAGTTTTTGCGCTTTTAATCGAAGTAGCGATTCAGAGATACTGATGAAAGGGATTGATCCTGTCTGTACTGAACTTTGGAAAGTAACAACTTCAATACCGATGGTCGTATCTGATGTAACTGAAGTAGTCGTCGTGCTTGCCTCAGTTGTAATAATTTAACCTGTAATTGTGGAGAAAACTCCATCAGTGTGCAGCTCTGATGCCCCTGTTGCTAAATTCAAGACGCGAAATGATTGACTCATGCATCAAACACTTTATTTAAAAGATTACAAGACATTTAGGAAAATGATTGATTTTACCTGGTACTTCGGTTGTATCGATCGTGCCTAAAAATAAAAATATTGAAGGTTAACGCAATAGATTAAAGCATAAGAATTTAGGATAGCTTTAAGTAGAATTTGGAGACGGAATTAATGAGTTATCGAGGTTTGTTTTACTTCATAGCTTTCAACTACGAGATCGTCATGAAGTTTAGCCAACTATTACCAAACTGATCCACTATTAAGCTTTTGGATAGAGTAGACGGAATCTAATTTACTTTAGAGTACCTATAAAATAACCAAGCCATATTTAATAGTACCGAAGCTAAGAGCACCGATAAGAACTTTTCATCTTATTTTTTACTTTCACATTTTAGAATAAAATTTTTAATACACTTTTGCCAAGAATTGAATGACGAATCTTTGAAAAAAATTTAGTTTCAGCTCTGAAAGGTACAAAAGCTATTCAGAAAGACGGAAACTGTCATTTTTTAAGACCCTACTTCAATTGTTTATGTGAAGTAGTAGATAATAACTTACTTTCGCCACTCCCATCAAGTATTTGATTATCAAATGAAATTGAATTACTCAATTCATTATCCGCTTTTTGAAATTTTTCATTTTCTAAATCCAATCCCAGTATCCCATCAATTAATGAAGTTTTTCCTTTGTTTGTATCACTATCATCATCATAACTCGGTTCATTTAACAATTTCCTCCGTACGTAATGATCATTCAGTAACTCAACGTTGTTTATTTCATTTGGAAACGTTGTACTACTTTTTATAGCTAATGTGGACGGAGTCAGTTTTGATGTCAAACGATTCGGTGTACATGTTGTTGTACTCGTTTTATCAATATTTATTGGAAAAGTCATTTTTAACGTTATTGAAGGCTTGATATTCATAATGAGAGCGGTTGTCTTCCCACGAGATAAATTCATACTAGTATTTAATATCGAATTCATCACATGTACTTTAGTAGCTAGTGCCCACTTTTCACGATTATTAATTAAAATGAAACCTTCCAATAGAGGACCTGTATCCGACATATAGTTGCCCGACGATGAGTATTCGTGAATTTCAGCATAAAGGCCATGCACAACACCATTTGACAAAGCGTTTGAAATAAGTAAAGTAACAATGGTGGTACAGGCCACATTTGAAACAACTGAAAAACCATAATGATAATGTTAAATTGCAGGTCTCTAGCATACATAGATTTACCTAGCAAAGCTGAATTCACATGCAGATAGAAAAGAGAAAACAAACTTAGCAAACATTGCGACAAAAGCTAAAAAATTAATACATTTCTTGTGAAAATGTCCAATCTATTTGACTTTATGTATGTGTCGCAGACGAAATTAAAATTCAGGAAAATTTAAAATTCTCCTAGGAAAAGTTAAAAAATTAATTTCACTTAGGAGAAAGCAAAATTTGAACTTTTCCTTAGGGAAATTTGAACTTTTCCTATACAAAAGTGTTAAAGTTAATATTTTATTTATTCCTATAGGAAAAATTGAAATTTTTTTTGATTTTTTTCGCTCGAAATTCGACAGTGTCGAAATTCTGTCGAATAGGCTTCGGGACTTAGTGGCCGAAGATTGAACGCGGTCTGGAATTTTTTTTGACGCTGTCGAATTTCAAGTGAAACTTTCGACACAATCTGTCGAAAATTTTTCGCTTGAAATTCGACAGTGTCAAAACATGCTGTCGAAAAGTATTTCTATCGAACTGTGAAATTACCCTAGACAGAGAGAAAAAAGGAAACAAAAATCATCTACATAACTAAATATTGTTTTCATCTCTTAAGTAGAATTTCTTTTGTCAAGATGGAACGTTTCTGCACTTTACTCTATAACCATATCGAGTCTTTAAATCAGAAGTTTCGAGAGAAATTGGGCATCTCAAACTTTTACATAATATTAAAACAAGTCATCCGGTTGTCACGTACGAAAATCTGTATATGAGAATCAAAGAAAGCCACCAAAGGGTGGATCACTATGGAAGAGACAAGGCTTGAGGTCTGAGAAAAACATGTTTATGGTTAGAGCCAAGATAAACTTGGCTTTAGGTGAAAGAACAATATTCATGGATGGATCTACAGTATAAAATTATTTGTTGCAGTGTGATGTATTTAGTGGCAGAAAACTATTTCCAAAACCTGCAGCAGGTATATTAGAGAACATGAGCAAATCAGTTAGTAGAGTGTTTTTCTATTTGAAGACAGTTCCAGTATCGTTATCGTTTATACATGACTGTTCGTCAAGATTGACTACTATTGTTTTTGTGTTCTTATCACTTACTTGGCTCACGGATGAAGTTTCACCAAGTGTCATAGTGGTTTTTAAATTTCAAGCAGAACATTTTGTAGAGCTCGTTGAACTGAGCAAGATGGCAGTAAAAATTTTCTCCAAACTCAATGGTTAAGAGGCTAAAGTTTTAAATCTTACAGGATCGCTATTACATATTAATGTATGTCACTAAAGAACTTTCAGGAATTCTGTTTTCATCATTCGATGCGCACTACTCGATTTCATACTCTCATATGTTAGACGGAGTTATTGGGTCAACAAAAGTCGACGCTAATAGATCAGGGAAGGTATTACGCATCGAAAGCATCAGAACAATTTTATTTCTCGTGACTATCTTTTTTTAAATATAAGAAGAAAAAAATACCGTAGTGTAAACCCTCATGCTAACAAGAGCTAAACTACATATGTATTATCGAGCAGAATAGCATTTTGAGCACGGGTTTTTGACAAGACTGAGCGCTGATAGAATTATACGAGCACCGTTTGTCTGTTTTGGGCAAGATACATGCTCAAAAAAATGCTTAATAGTTCTGAATAGTTTTCATGGTGTTGGTCTGTGCTTTAAAGTTCTCATAGTCTGCATAGTTCTATATTGTAGTCTAAGAATTGACATCTATGTAGCTAAAAAGATTATTTTGCGTACTGTTTAATACATGATTGAAAGATTCTTTACAAGGACACGCCACAACGTCCGAAAATCACCGTCGCCGCGGATTCGGTGTTAAAGTGTTAACACTTTAACATATACGAACTCGCGGCGAGTGAGGGTGATGGTGGAGAAGTGAGAGTGAATTGGATGAAGAAGTGCTCCACCCTCATCCTCACTTCCTCACCCTCAATTATGCACGTTTACACTTTAACACTTTACCATATAAGAATCCGCGGCGACGGCGATTTCCGGATGATGCCATCTTCTGCTCACATTTGCATTTCTAACTTACAATCATGTCGAGAAAATGGAATTTCTTTGACAATTTTACACTAAAAAAAGATTGTGACGTATTCTTTACTGATAATCATGTATTTGAAACAATATTATATACGATGCAAAGAAATGGAAAAAATATCGAGCATTATTTGTGGATGTTTCTGATATGCTGGCGATTTAATTGTTTTTTCGTTAGAGTACAGTCTAAACTTCAAAGAACATAGAAAACAAAATTGTTTGTAATTGAGTTTGAGTGAGAAAAAATCTACGTACGAAACACCGCTCAAAAAGTTCTTGCAACTTCCACTCTCTTGAAATGTATTGCTCTCATCAAAAGTATTTTCTCACTATAGAAGAGTAAATTTGAAATTATGTAATTATAGAAACTGGAAGTGTTTTTATTGCTCTTTTGAATCGGATGTGCTAAATTATCTTTCAATTTACTTTTCAATTAGAAATTCGTGAGCTTTTCATTTGCTTCAGAAAAAGAGTTGGTTAGACTTAATTAATAATTTTCATATACTAAATGAACTTTGTCCTTGTACTAAAATACATTTTCTGAAACAGCATTCAATCTCCTGCAAGGTCGCATTAGTTTTAATTTTTAATGACATATCTTGAGTCCTAAATAACAAATTTTCTCAATGTCATGCCTTTCGCATGAAAAGTACAGTTTTCTACTAGATCTGACTGTTGTAATACATTTTTTTACTATTAAGGGTTTTTCTTATGAGTCTATAAAGGACACTTTTCTTTGAAGTATATATTTCAATACTTTTTTCGGGTACCGGACCTGTAGTTTTCGAGAATATAATTTTTTAAGTTTAGTCTCGGTTTTTTGCTTCATTTTTAAAAGTTTAATAAAATTTTCAGATTTCTACATCTAACCTCGGTTTTGATGTCAATCGATAGAGGACATCCGGGTGTATCTACGAAAAATTCGGTCAAGCTTTGACTGGGTTATTCCGCTTTGACCTGCCCGATGGCATTTTGGAGCAAGAAGTATTTTTAAAAACACCTTGAACCAAATTTCGTTCGAAGGAAGCATTTTCAAGCGAAAGTGTGGATACGAAAGTTGTTCAGAATCAGATTCCGAAGGGTTTCTCACAATTCATTAAACTCGATTTTTAAATTGAAAAACACGGTTTTTAAAACTTTCAGATTTAGTAAAATTTAATTTAAAAGTCCAGTTTAACGAATTCTCTTAATAATGTTAAATGTTAAACGTTAATTAGAGCTAATTAGTCAATAAAAGTCAATTCGCGAAAAAAGTGCTTTGCAAGACGTTGCATTTTAGGTGACGTTTGATATTTATATTTCTTCTCGCTCAAACTCAATTATAAACAATTTTTTTTCTATGTTCTATGAAGTTGAGACTTTGCTCTTTCTAACGGAAAAACAATTAAATTGTCAGCGCATCAGGAACATGCACAAATAATGAGTTTCAACATGAAATTCAAAACTTCGATTTTGTTTGAAACTCAGGGCCAACGGGGAAAATTTGAGTAAAAATTCGATATTAACAAAGTTGATTGCGCCCAAACCAAATTCGGGTTCTTCATAACCCATGAAGACCTACATTTTAAAAATAGTGCCATTCAAAAGGGTTTTTAGCACCTCAGGCGGTTTCTTCATTCAGAATTACAGAAAATGATTACTCGGTTATGGTGGAGGAAAGTGATGAAACAACGGATTTCTTTTCAGATTTTCAGCCATTTGCTGCTCGTTACTGCAGCAACGAATTATAGAGGATTCTCAACTCTGTTCCCCCTCTTATCACGTTCCTTGAACGTGCTTAGTCGTATGTAATAAAAACGAACAGAACGTTCGGAGAATAAAAGTAACTCGATTATTACGTCGTACGTCAGCCTCAAAATAATTTTTATCACACGCAAGGTGAAGATCGTTAGTATAAAATAAAGTTCACGTTCAAAGAACGCCAAAGTGCTTGAGCTTTACGTTCAGAGAGAACGCTAAAAAGGAACGCTGAACTTTTGCATAGACTGGCCTTTATTTGTTTGTTTGTTCTTTTTGGCGGGGGAGGGGAGGGTATTTTAAGTCTGTTTATCACAATATAAAGGAAGCAGACATCTGATAGTAATTACATGAAAATTTTTAATAGGAGCTCTCAGACTGCATTTGGAATTTTTCGACTAATCATAAACCTGTAATGTCGGCTACAAACCGAAAAAATTGGGCTGACATCAGTGACTATAAAACGGGTGGAGGAATATATCTATAGGGAAATTGCAAAGATCTTTTCTCACAAGTCTGTGTTGTATTTCTTAAGTATTTCTTAGTCTTATTTTTTAGTCGAAATGTTCGGAAAAAATCAGAAAAAATACTGATCAACGGAGATTAAGTGTAAAGTGCCGTGCAACTTTTGCGTTTCCAAATGGAAAAGTACAGATGAAATTTAGATCAATTTTTCTTAAGACTTGAAACTGTCAAGGCAAAGACAAATGACTTAGCAGTAGAAAATAGTCAAATCAACGTACAAAAGTGTTTTCTTATATGAATATTTATAAACAACTTCTCAGTTTTGCACAATTAAAAATAATTCTATTAATTAAGGAGTAATCTGGCTTCTCTTACCATTGAATGCGTTACATCATATTTTTATGATTTTTTCTTTTTTCTCAACACAAACAGTCTACTAGTACTTTTTTCGCTATAATATATACTCATGAGCTTTTTCCGCAGTTTTTACAAAGAAAGAGGTGCTGCATATATAATGAAGACCAAATGTTTACGTAGAGTGTGATATCACTCTGTTCTCTCAAATTCCCATACGAGCAAATAGAGACTT